GAGAAACCAGCCCACCCCGGATGGAAATTGATTATAATCTCTTTAATGAGAATGACTAAATCCAGAGTATTGGTGATTAAACATAAAAATACCAAATTTATTCATGATAATCAAATAACAACTAATAAAAGTGATATGCGAATATAGGTTCCAATCATACGCAAGTGTCACCGAAGTAAAAGAGCGGAATACGAGGTCGGAATGCCTCATATCGATAAACGAAATTGAGCTGACCGGAGAGTGGAATTGGATGACCTTTAAAAATTACCTTCTAAAATGAAAAACGGTATCATACAATGTATCCAGCAGGCGGTTAGTAGCACACCACATGAAAAGAGTCACACCTTTACAGAAAATCAAGATTTTTATCACAATGAAGTGGAGGTTTGCGGTAAGACGCGGGAGTTCCGTGATTGCCATTGCAGGAGGTACCATCGTCACCATCCACATCGTCACCTGGCGTTTCCGTTGCATCGACTTCCTCCAAATGGTACCCACTTGTATCATCCACGGAGACACCCATATCTTCCAGCATTTTTTGAAGCACAATTATCTGCTCCACCAAACAGTCATTCCTTGCAGACAACTGCGTCTGCTCGTTTCGGAGAATGCTATTTTCCTACGATAAACAATATCTGCTACTAAAAATCTCTAGTAGTATCTGGCATCGGTGCAAGTCGCCTAAACGCACAAACCACAAACGCACAGAACCACACTTTCGAGGTCATTTGCATTGGTAGCTAAAGCGCTGATGCGTACAAACCTTTGACATGCGATGCACTTGAGATAAGGTTCATAAGTTTCAAACGCGCCAGAAAGGGTATGTATGTGTGTGCCTCCCTATACTGCTAGGGGTAAACTACTGGATAGCAGCAGCCTACGAGATGAAGTGGGGCTTTAAAAAAGAAAAGGAAAAATTCAGTGGTAACCATCAAAATTGTAAGGAAGTCACTTCAACATACTGCATATGTTCCCGATACCGGGTAAAAAGCGAATAAATACAACAACGTAAACAATAATGTGGAAATAAAAATAAGACAGTTACGTTGTAGAATATAGGAACAAGCGAGAAAAGGCACATATGCATAAAAGATTAGTACATGTGATTCGGTAATTAGGAAACCGGATGATTCGCTAACCAAAGCAAAGGAAATCGATTTTATAAAAGAGGAATAGAAACGACCATCAAAGACTGATTCGTCGATAGCCCCAGTTACCGCATATATTTTTAGGTTCAGGAAGGTTTTAAGAAAAAGGGGCCAAATCTAGGTACCGCTTGTAACAATCCTCTAAATAAGAAGTAGGTGCAATCACACTTAAATCAGGACAGCAAATACAAGCTGACGGATGCGAGTCCAAATTTAAATTTACATGATCGCTTCGCTCTAAGCAATCAAACACAAGTAAATTTACTGTAATTATTGCAAACAGTTGATCAACATCGACATAAAAACGTCGTGTGCTTGGAATCTAAGTAGTATTCAGGATGAAGTCTGGCTTATACCGAAGAGTATAAGGGAATTTACGCAAGCCGTGGTGAATTTGGGGTCCAATTCTGGATATTTTTCGTGATCAAAGTTCGCCAAAAAAACGACTATTCCAAGCCTAAATACGGCGCCTTAGGACTCGTGATAGGCTTGAAAGCAATGATTTTGACTTGGGAAAGTAAAAAAGTTCATGCTCAACAATAACCAACCCTATAATAATGCGATGCGACTGAACATACAGAGACAAACAGCATGACCAAGACACAAATGAGGCACATACTAAAAAAAGGACATGCCTAGACAAGATAAGAAAAAAGGGCATGATGAAATTAAGATGATTGGTTAAATGGGGTCTATCACGTTTTATCATCACTGGTGAATAGCCTAGACCACATTTGAATCCCGATGTATTAATTCAATACATATAAAGAACACTTTATTTACCTCCCTGATACGACTATTTTGATTCCTTAAGTCCATATTCACGTCACGGAGGTCACTCAGTTGTTCAGAGAAGAGTTCTACTTGGTACCTTAAGGGCCGTTAAAAGAAGAAACCAAACCTTAACATTATATTCTTGTTCCGCAAAGCATCGTTCTCATCAGTTAGACTTTTGGTAAACTTTTCTTGGAATCCCGTTGATCTGCTCTCTAAGATATCGAAATACAAATCGTTTTCTTTCAAAAATGTATCCGTAGCGATGTTTGAATGGATTGATATTGTGTTAGGGCGACGTTTGTCGGACTTTCTTATTCGTCTCATAAACTTAAGTCGATTTGCAAAATTGGATGACTCATGACCAGGCTCAACTTTCGCACCCGCCTACAAACAAATGAGTAAAACCAAACAAGTTAGACTACCGCAACCCGAGGATTAATCTCAAACGAATTCATTCCTTTGACTACAAAAATGAAACAGAACAGCGGTGGTTAGTGAGCAAATAGGCGTCTGGCGCTGGGCGGGCTAACAGACCTCTTATAGAACTATACGATTTAATTCGTGGATGAGTTATGTTCATCATTGCACTGTATTAATGGTGCGCTAAAATATTAGATTTGACAATATAAAGGTAAAACCACTGTTCTAAATATCCAATGAGATAAAACGCAAAAATTAAATGAAACGGGTTGCCGGAACTTGCCATAAGGTTAATCCCTTCACGATACTCGAGAATCAGATTAACATTAGTAAAGAAGGTAACTTCCTTTGCATAAATAATTTAAAGCATTTATGAGCCATCTTAAACTTTATTTACATTGAAAGGTTACTAGAAAGTGGGGCGGATAGTACACATTTGACATGCAGTAGGGCATCAGAGGGGATCATGAGATCCAGGGGCTTGCCCAAATGGCAAAGGTGCAATGGCAAAGAAACAAAGTTTTTTTCCCCCCCCCCCCAACTGAAACCGAGAGTAAAGCAAGCTTTTAACATACTACACTGTAGCCCACGGACACACGGAAGGTGTTTGCGCTACCGGCATGGCCCGAAGGCCAGCTTACTTGAACTGGTGCATTAGCCAAGTCAAAAGTGCCTCCTTACCAAAATCGAGAGATAATCAACTACCGTATTACATAACCGCTCAAATGAGAGATATCCTCCTCTTTACATGCTTCCGTTTCAAGAGCATGAAACCAGAAGTAAAATAGAGAAACGCCGAATTTGTAGCATTCAGTACAATGTGTATATAATTTAATAGCAAATTACATCGTGTTAAGTCTTTAATTATTTCAAGAGGAACAATGCTATTGCCGAATTTTTGGAGTTGTTGCAGTCAAAGGTCCATGATATCAAGGAGTACCACAGTCTACATAGACCTGGGGACCAGTACGATTAAACACATGGCAAGACATTGCCAATTCCAATTCATGCCATGGAACAAAGAGACCGGTATGGAAAGACTGAGGCGTTTCAAAATGTACAAAGTTAAAAGTGGTTACTACTTTTAATACTCACAAGTACACCAGTCTATGCAACACTACGTCGGCTCGGAGGAGCTAGTCGCTATCACAATCGCGACAACGACCTGAGGCGCGATGACTCAACGACGCTTTTATACGGGTGAACGGCGTTGGGCGAAATAATGAAGCGCACCCCCACAACCTGCGGCCCCTGAGCGGACTGCTGTCCCCATCCGATATCTGTCACTAATATTATCTCCATGCTAATTGAAGTTCGCCATGGCTAGAGGGTCAGTTCCCACCTTTTGCAAAATCTTGCCAAAATGGGGGAATAGAGCCGCCCTCAAGTATCTGCTAATCTCGTCTTTTAACCAGGTAAAAACTAACAAGATAAGGTACCTCCCCAAGTGAATAGAGAAATAACCAATTTTGTCTATCCGGCTCGGTAAAATTATCCCCCATCCACTACAGGCTCCCGAGAATGGAATGGTTAGTGTTTGGGTGTCATGCAATGTGTTTATAGGCAAGTTATATGCGCATTACTCCAAGATTAGAGAATAGTAAGAGGAGGAAAGAAACTAGAGAACAACCACATTAAATCGAACATTACAATAAGGACAAAATCGGCCATTTATCTCCCTGCGCCACTGTGATGGACGATCTGAAATAAGAGTACCGGAATGAAGATTTCAGAAGATTATCAGCGTGATATTTACAAAATTGCTACCAAAACGCACACCTTAATCACGCCTTAGACCTTATATGAAAAGCACATTATACAGCAGATATTCAATGTCAATTAAAATAAACAATATCATCAAGCAAACAGACGCTAAAAAACTAACGAAATTGAGTGGAGTCCTTTAGCATAAGCGAACTGGAAAAACAAGTCTACTAGAACTATGGAAAAGGAGAGAGCATTCACAGACCTGGAAGAAGAACGCTGCAGCGTCGACATGAGGGACACTCGCTGAAGCACGATTCCACGCAGGGTATAAAGGTCGAGGCACACCGCACTGCAGCGAAATGAGAGATTTTTAAGTCGGCAGTACAATGAAGGTTTCTTAAAAATAGTGAGTGAAATACACTTTTCACTTACTAAATTCATGACCTCTTGAACAAGCGGCGACAAGAAGATCCACATTCGTATGTACAAATAAAATAAGTTAAAGAAATAAAGGGACCGATGTCAGGGATCGACCATTCAATATGCCCCAGTCAAGAGAACAACAAAGACCTAAGACTGGGGTCTATGACCTTTCTATCCAGGCACTGACCATTCAAACCTGATACCAATAATGAGTAAACACGCCATTCTCGTCACCTTTGGCCATTAACGGCAGTGACTCCTACGTCACCTTCGTAACTGGTGCCTGAGTTCCACCGTGAATTCACAGGGAACAAACGGTGCTTTCACTAGTTAAAATTATGCATTCAAACAGCTGGCACGCCCTGTGTGCCATGCAATTGCGGACTTTTGTAGAACAGGCAGTCAAAAAGGATATCAGTTCGGCAGACGGGACAAACTAGCAGCGCGGTGGTGCTGACATTGTCCAAGGTTTGTTCAAAGCGCTTGATGAGTAGTTTCTGCGCGACGCCCGTAACAGCCTCGGTGGCGCGATGCAGCATCGAGCACAGCGCCGCCATCCCGCAATCCTTTGCGGCGTCACCTTGTAGGAATCGTCGGCAAAGAGCAGCAATCCGCAGCACCAGGATGCAATCTGCAGAAGAGGATCCAATAAAGATGCAAAAAGTTGGAAACAGATCAAGAATGCAAAAAGAAGTATTTTGACTGAGGAAGTAGGACACCTTGGGATTGCCTTTGCACCTCAGTCTTTAAAAAGAGCCGGTAGCACAGATCGATTTGCCGGAGGGCCAAAATTTTATCCAAACGGTCTATCTGCGTCTGTAGCATTTCCTGAAAATGCCGTACAGAGTATTATGTATGATTTCCAGAAAGCAAAACTTCTGACGGCGGTAAAAAGCTTACTTTCATTTCTGATGACTTGTTAGATCCCTCCACGAGGATTGCTGCGACAGCTCTGTTAAGGATAATTAGAGGTATATTGTACAGCTTGTAGAGCTCATGGTGCGTTCAACATGAAAAATAACACGGTTTGAATCGCAAATAGTGGAGAAATACCAAATCGCCGCTACCTTCGAAATTGAATTTTGTGGAGTTCCAACTTTGAGAGATCTGTCTTAGTGTCGAAAAAGGCACCCCTACAAAAGGCCTGTAGTTTTTGTGACCAGGTCTCCAGGTCCATGTCTACATCGGAGCATTCCAAAGAGACGGACTTATTGTACTCCGTGGAGCGCAGAAGACGTGTCACCTGGTAAAGACAATCCACATTCCTTCTCATCGGTGCGGACAACCCATCAATCAAGTCGACGACCTCCGAATTCGACAAGAGTACCAAAAAAACCAGCTAAATAAAGAGGCGAATATTGTGATTAGATAAATGTGGAATGATGGTGACTCAGACAAATTGATGCTGAGCGGTATGTATGCATGAATAGATAAGGGCAATAAAACTCACATTTGAGGTGATGTTGCAAAATGCCGGAGCCAAAGTGCTACGAGAATAGAAAATGATTTCGAGTACAAAATCACTTGTGTTCAACTTCAAACTGATTTGATTGAAAGTAAACACTTATGAGGAATAGTAAGGCAAAAGGTACACACGAGAAAGAGCTTACGACTCTACAAATGAGGCATAGACTCCATTTTGGGTAAGATGCAACCCTCCAAAAAATCGGTGGAAGTTTTTACCGCCCAGTGTAGACGCCTTGTTAAGAATTGTTAGGTGGTAACTTTCTAAAATGGGTGAAAATGTGTACGACATGGTTGTATTCGGATGAGAAGACAAAGAGAGAAATTGTACTTAAAACACTGTACAACTTACTATTTAACTGGGTAGGTACGGAAGCCTTCGCTATAATACCGTCTTGGGACGAGAAATATACATGATTGTTGAAAAAGCAAACACCTAAAAAGTCAGTATAAATTAGTGGGATAATAGGAAGTGGCAAGTAATCCGAGAAGGTGTACTGCTATGACAGACGATCAGCGACGCAAAGAAGACCAGCTTCATTCAGTAGTCTAAAAAGATTTTACGACTATACCTCGAAAAAGTGTCCATAAGAATATAAAACTTAAGTTTAATTCGAATGTATAGATGCCTCCAAATATATGTTTCACTTATACGCCAATCAAGACGACAGCAGAAAACATTAAAGTAGAACGGCTGTCAGGGACCCACCAGAAATGGCCTTCAAAATGGCATCATCAGAAAGGCAGATGAGAAGTCGAACAGTGGTTTGATTTAGAACTTTGGCAAGAAGAACTCGAGTTCCATAGGCAATTGCCAGGATATCGTCACTGTAGGTGGCATCACTCACAGATATGAAGCCGCATGAACAAGGGCAGAGCTCAGAGTCGCTCAGCTAAACCAAAAGATGAAGAAAGTACTAGGTGAAGGCGATTACACTCTCTTCAGTGAAACTTTTGGAATTTGCTCCAAGATCACGCTGAAGAACCGGATTTCAACTATTACCAGTAAAATGTCACAAGATCAGTTGGGAATTTAAAAAATAACGAGAGTAAACAACAAGCTCCCAATCCAGGTTGTACTGCTGACGCATCATTGCAATAAAACCCAGACCTAATTACGCAAAATCAACTAGTACCGACTGATGCAAAAGCGTGATGCGTACAGAACCAACAGTTCCCTTGCTCTGCAGCCTGAAAAAGTGGTTATATGTCCATAGAATTCGAATGGGAAACATGGTGCTATCTTGACAGTGGAGTAGACTAAGTCAAACATACCCGCTTGATAGAAATGACACCCACCCGTTTGGCATAGGCTTGATAGGTCACGCAGACAATTCGGCTGTCTGTGAAGGCGACGACAAGTAAAACTAAAGTGTGCAAGGATTATGTATTAGCACTTATAAATTTATGGAGATACTTGAAAGTGAATCAAGTAGATCTCAACATTTGGAACGTTCTTAAAGATGCACTAAATTAAAGAAAAATGAACTAAATTAGCTGATTTGCACTAGATGGCACGCGGTTATCTTCTTATCAACCAAACTTAGCTATAAATAGATAACTCGCTTTGGCTTACATTTTTCCCCGCCAATATCAACAATTTTGATAAAATTAGGCTTTGCGCGTAGGTTTGGAGGCTCAAACTTGACAGCGTAGGTGCGGTCGACCGCAGAAAGACGAATGCTGCCTCTGAGCATAAAATCCATGAATAATTAGCAAAGTTTTGATCCAAAATTTTTGGGATGAAATGGTGACCCAAACTAATTTGGCCAAGCTGGTGAGTGAGCAAAGCTGTATAGTATGATTTGAAGAAATAAGGAATACACTGCCGCCTCGAATAAATGCGAATGAAATTGCAAATGATAGTGATATTAGAGAGTTAAACCGCGAGTTAATTAAAATCACGAAAGACTTCAGCAGTACTTACTCATCAACTATTGGAACGGCGACATCCCAAAAGGAGATGGTACCTGATTTGTGAAGGGCCGTCAAAAGACAATTATTGTGAGTGATCCTTTGTTCTGAACGGCGGAATCTCCGAGACCATGTGGAAATCGTGAATGAGGATTCAGCGATAGAAGAGAGGAATTCCTTGACCGACCGACATTTAAGTGGTACTACTGACAAGCCAGCCGAATGATTACTGTTAAGTTGTTCATTATCTGAAAGATTGAGGAAGTCCTGTAGTTCACCAGCAAGAATGCGGAGGCCTTGTGTCCTCCAAAAGGCGTTCCAGAGATTGGAGATGTTCGCCACACACGTCCACTTGTCTAAATCACGCAAGCAGACCAGAAGCTGACAAGTGCCTGTTACGCAACTGAACACGGTTCTGGAAATAAAACAAGTCCCCAAACATGTGAAGATACGAATGCAAATTTTAAGCCTCAAATTACCGCGACATTTGATCAACTCCGGAGGGAGACCAGTCAGCATTCTTGAAGGCATAACTCAGGAACTCTTTTGATTCTAAGACTTTTGTAGACATAATGATAGCAGAACGTTCGCAATAGGTCAGCGCATAGCGTGCGATCTCGTGAGAGCAACGAACATTGCTAGGATCGAAAGAGATGGGGAGGTTCAATTGATTGCTCTCGAGAAGAGTAAAAAATTTCATCCGACTTCCTATAAGATCTGTGGAATCCATCTGCATTTCATTAGCCAATTTAAGATTCGGAATCTGAAAAAAAAAAGAAATGCACTCTCGAGCATTCTTTAATATCAACAAAATGAGCTGCCCCGAAGCATGATGTTGGATGTGATTCCAAGTATTTCACAGGTTTGTCGATATCACACAACCCAACCTCCGCAGATGTTGTACATACCGCTGGCTCCGTACTCTAAGAATTTAATACTTTATTCCTTCGGAATGAAAACATATCTTAAGAACGAAACATAGTTCACTTTAAGGATCATCAGAACATACAAATACGCCGATGGAATCCTTGAAAACAATAAGAAATTCATTATCGTCCGAGACAACGAGTTTTCCAATGGGGATTTTTCGGGGAGGTAGTGCTAGCTTTATTTGCTCGCATATTCCAGGCATTTGACACTAAAAGCAAAACAGACATCACAATGAGTACCACAAAAAATACATTAGAGAAACTAGAGGGGGTTAATTAGGGAAAAATAAACAAACATTTACAAAAATATTCTTTAAGAACTACCAACGTATTTCTTCCTTGCTATAAAATCGGCAAAGTTCTATCCAACAACTTAATTCGGGATTAAGATACCAAAGAGCCGGGGTGAAAAGCAATGCCAGATCCACTGAGACGACAAAATTAGGGGTCTAAGAAGGACGAAAGAGGCAGCATGCTGAAAAAAAGCAAACGGAGGAATAAGGAAAAGTGCATTATTTAAGATGATTTGGGCCAAACATCAAGACAACACTACCCGAAAACAGAAAAAATCAATGACGGAACTAGTGATCCCGGCAGTTCACGAAATGCTGAACAAAACAACCAAGATATGATACACCAAAAACCAAATGCCACACGGAACCCAAAGAGCTATCAGACTGGTCAAAGCTTGAAACCCCATACACTAACAGAGGAACTTAGGCAAGATGTCTTAAAACACATGGAAAGGCGACCCTGGTGCTGAAAGTTCGCCCATGAAGCAGGTGCTGCTAACTAGGCTGGCTTTGAAAATGCAAAAATTGCCTTAGCATTCCGGAACATCCCTTGAGAAGTGGTAAAGTAGACCAGTGTAGAAGAATAGTTTATTACTATTATGCAAGAAACTCAGCATCCAGTAAATACGCTACAAACCACGAGGCCTGGATCGACTGTATAGCGCTCGCAGCCAAAGAAGTTAAAACAACCAGCGTCCTGAGCACAATATAAATCTTAGTTACACTTTCAAACAGTATAATGTCATTTCCTTACAAAAACTTGAATGTTCTTAAGAACTAAGCAGTTAAGAAAAGGCTGAAGCTCTAAAATAAGCTTCATTTGTCATCTTGCAAGCAATTCGCAGAATTTTGATTACATAAACCCCACTTAGTTTAAAAAAAGGGTTTTTGCTGCATTTTGAAAAGACAACAAAAACACTCAGAAGATGCATACGCACACTTAACACAGAAATACCGACTATATTGACACTTTGACGTGGATCTCCCTGTAGCATCCAAGATCCTCCTGTTTACGAAGCAAAAAATTCTAAAGTATGACTACGTATTTAGATGCTCCACAGCTTCATGGGCCTTTTGCAAGGCTGTGTTTGACTTTCTTACATTACTATGTAATATGTTGGTTACTGATTTGCTCTCGGTTGTCGGTAAAGAGCAGATCTCTGTTTCTTATTTATTGTACCTTCACCGGATGGGCTGGCCAGTAGCCCTACTGTAGCGCCCGAGACTCCCTTAAGACGAAAGAAGACACAATACTCGGGCAGAATATATATATTCAGCACGG